CCGACCCTGAGAATCGTCGTCGCGATTCCTCCTGTACCACAGTCTCGCGCGATACACCGCCGTACCGACGACCCTCGCCTCGGCGACGACGCGGCGCGATGGATCGTCTGGCGGGTCCGGTGCCACGACGATGCGCACCATTCTGTGCCGAAAGTATTCCTCCCCTCGGGCGTAGTAACGATCGAGGACGAGATTCGCGACGTCCTGTCGAGTCATCCGTCTCAGCGCTTGTTCCCTGTTGGTGACGGCGGCGGCGGCTGGTCTACCTCCTGAAACGACGCGAGACGTTGCAAGAGAAAGAAAAGATACGAGTTTCGCGCGACGGGTGTCACTCACGTTTCCTCATTGTCGAGCTTCTCCCCCCCACCCCTCCTTAGTTATACCTGCGCGATAGAGGGAGCGTGGAACGTGCTCTCTCGGCGCGATCGTGTGTGTGTGTGTAGTCAGATTCTAGCGATTTCTCGCGGTTGTCTCACCTGGGGGAACCTTAACCTCTCTCCAAGAGGGGTTGCGTCACCGTTGGAGATTTATCGCGGTTGTCTCATCTGGGGGAATCTTAACCTCTCTCCAAGAGGGGTTGCGTCGCCGTTGGAGGTGGACGCGGGTTCGAACGGGAGAGCATGAGTCCGCGGGAGCGCGGCGTTCGAGCGAGGCGAGCGCGTTCCCCCCTCCTTTGCGTTCCAGCGCGGAGAACAACTCTTCCACCGTTCTGCTGTCCGCGTTCGCGATCCGTTTTTGATCGTTGCACTCTATCTCCCTCTCCGATCGTTCGTTCGCGACTGACGCGCGGGAGCGCCGCGTCGGAGCGACAGAGAGAGAAAGCGTCGATCCTGCGTTTCTATTGGTCGCCGAGGAATGTCGAAGGGGGGAGGCCATTGTTCGCTCGCCTACGTCGTGTCACTGCCGCGCGCGCGGCGGTGCGTCTCTCTCGCCGTCTCCCTGCCACGTCACAGACGTGTCGTGGCGCGGCGGTGCGACTGGCTCGCCGTCTCGGTCGCGCGCGCGACGGAGAGACGCGTCGCGCGGCGGCGGTACGACTCTCTCTACGTCCGCCATTGCGCCACTGCCGCGCGACTGAGGCGCGTCGCGCGGCGGCGACTCTCTCTACGTCCGCCATTGCGTCACTGCCGCGCGACGGAGAGACGCGTCGCGCGGCGGTGCGTACTGTTCTTTCGTCTGTACGTTCGCCGCGCGAGTGAGACGCGTCGCTCGGCGGTGCGACTCTCTCTCGCTCGCCGTCACCCTGCGTTCGTTCTCCACTGCCAACCGAGAGGGAGACGCGTCGCGCGGCGGTGC